GTTTAATGGTTTTTCTCTCTCCTTATTTTCATTTTCAAAATGACCATTTGGCAACAATCCAGCTGCAATAAAACAGAATGAATAGCAATAATAATAGCACTTGGTCTTAGAGTTATACACTGCCCCATAGTGCTTTTCAGCACTTTCTAAGTGGTTTAGAGGGAAGCGGTAGCTCAGTGGCTAAGAGGCTGAGCTTGTCGATCAGAAAGGCTGGCAGTTTGGTGGTTCAAATTCCTAGTGCCTCGTAACGGAGTGAGCTGCCATTACTTGTATCAGCTTCTGCCAACCTAGCAGTTTGAAAGCATGTAAAATGCAAGTAGAAAAATAAGGACCACCTTTGATGGGACGATAACAACGTTCCGTGTACTTCGGTGTTTAGTCATGCCGGCCACATGATCACAGAGACGTCTTCAGACAGCAATGGCTCTTTGGCTTTGAAATAGAGATGAGCACCGCACCCTAGAGTTGGGAACAACTAGCTCATATGTGCAAGGGGAACCTTTACCTTAACGTGATTTACAAATATCAGCATATTGTTCCCCAACAATCATGGGTCCTCATTTTACTGACCTTGGAAAAATGGAAGGCTGAGTCAACCTTGGGCCCCATGGAACTAAAAGCTGTGGGAAGAGTTAGCTTGTAGTACTGCATTCTAACCACTGCGCCACCAGGGCTCAGTGGCCAAGAGGAAAACTGGTTTGTTAACTCAAAATTGTTAACTTTTAAAAATATTCACATTTTGATTTTTTTTCCCCAAAATCCTTGCAGTTATTGAAAAATACTCAAAGGCTGTTTTTTTTAAACGAATTATAACATTACAAACTGTTTGTCTCTTATATGTATCAATGGTCCCTTCCAGCTCTATTCTGATTTCTGACATAGTGGGTAGAAATGTCTGATTTGCAGTGGGTCAAATCTAACCAACCACATTTCTTCTTTATCTAATTGTAGAGAACCAGTTTGGTGTAGTGGTGGAGCTTCTGGCTTAAAAACCGGGGAATTTTGAGATCTAGTCCTGCCTTAAGCATGAAAGCCAACTAGTGACTTTGGACTAATCTTCCTCTCACAGACCAAACCACCTCACAAGGTTGTTGTGAAAAAAAAAATAGCAAGAGGAGTAACTGTATTAGGCGTCTTTGCCACCTTGAGTTGACATACATATATACAGTACTAGCTGGATACCCGTGCTTTGCGACGAAACTGTGTGATCGGACAATGCAGGAGAAATCCAGTTCACTCCAGTTCAATCCATTGGCTCAGTGATTGAAACACATAAGGAAAAATTGCCTTGAGTCCAGTAGTAGTTCCATAGGTATAAGATGTAGACATTTTGGTGAGCATTTAGTACTGTAAGGAGCCACAGACTGCTCCTGAGTGAAGGAGTGAAACATCTGCCAGTTTGAACTGAGATAATGGAATGTGAGGCAACTGGCAATTGGAACAGAGTTCTTTTCAAGTGGGGAGGGGAAGTAGAATGTCTAACTCCTTAGCATCAGAGTGTGTTAATTACTGTATAATACTAATGATCTGATGGTCATTTCGACAAATCCTTTCTTAGCGAGCACCTAGAAGCAAAGGGGAACATACATGCCAAATTTAAAGTTTGTAGGCTTTAAGTTTCTGGAGATTTCGTGATGAGTGAGTGGCACTTGGCTTTTATATATATATATAGATATAGGTCTATGTATATACTGTATACAGGTATGTGCATTCATATAAATATGTAAAAAGACAGGATAAAGATCTAATAATTCAGATTCATGGAATCACTCATCTTGTAGATCTCCTCCCATCCCCCAAAACCCTCTCTTATGTTTGCCGGTCTCAACCCTCTTGGGCATCTGAGCCTTCTATAATTAAAAAATAAGATTTAGCTGTTCTGCCTTTTGTCTAGCAAAAAAGGGAGAACGCTGACAGAAGAGGGACCAGTTTCCACAAGCAACAGGTTCCCGGTCACGCCGCCCCTAAGAGATCATCATCATCATCATCATCATATAATCAACTTAGATCCATTCTTACATGATTTAAAGTCTTCCTACGGCCAGCGGCAGGGGACAATTTTGTCCCGCTCTCGATTTTAAATTGGGGCGAGGGGCGGAGCTTCTTGCCCAAACAGAGTTTCTATTGGACAACCACAGACTGTTCTAATCGGAGAAGAAAGACCAATAGAGAGAGACAGCGGGCCGGACGCCGCGAGTTCTTCATGGAACCCGCGCGCCTGGGATGTCGTAACCTCCTGCTGGCAACGGTTGCTGCGCACGCGCAGTAGCCGCGGGTCCGGCCAGGGTTAGCGCCGCGGTCTCTCTGAGGCGCCGTTTTCCGCCGGCGGTGGTCGTTAATCTCCATTTAAAGTTGTCTTTTAAGTGGAGGCCCGAGGGTCGGAGGTAATAATCGAAAATTTACTTTCTCCTTTAAAAAAGTTTAAAAGAGCCCTGAAGAGTTTCTCGTTTTTCTCTCCTCAGTGCTTCAACCTCTGGAATTGACATCCCTGCTTTTTTCTTTGGGGGGGGGGGCGGAAAGTGAAATTGTGTACTTTGCCCCCCACCCCCACCCCAGCTTTATCCCAATTGGAGCGCTCGAGGCAGCGCCAACTACGATGTCCATCTTTCCTAGCCTCGACTTTCAGGCTGGGGATAACGGGAATTAATGGGTCGAAAAGGCTCCACGTTGGGGAAAGCGGCTTAGTTTGGAGCATGCGCAGAGCTGGCGCTAGAAGGGGGTCTTGTTGCATGGGGGAAGCACCCAACCTCCACACACACACACGCCCCCCCCCCAACTTTGCTTGTTGGAATGATATTCTTGGTATATAATGGTGACATGAATGATTAATTTACAGGTGTAATCCTCCACATGGGATGCGGTGGCTCAGTGGCTAAGATGCTGAGCTTGTCTATCAGAAAGGTCCGCAGTTCAGTGGTTCGAATCCCTAGTGCCTCGTAATGGAGTGAGCTCCCATTACTTGTCCCAGCTTCTGCCAACCTAGCAGTTCAAAAGCATGTAAAAATGCAAGTAGAAAAATAGGGACCACATTTGGTGGGAAAGTCACAGCATTCCGTGCGCCTTGGTATTTAGTCATGCTGGCCACATGACCACGGAGACATCTTCGGACAGCGCTGTCTCTTCAGCTTAGAAATGGAGATGAGCACCGCCCTCTAGAGTCGGGAACGACTAGCACATATGTGTGAGGGGAATCCTTACCTTTATGTACAGTCCTCCACTTATGATCACAATTGATCCGAACAATTCTGTGGTTAAGGGTGACGGTTGTTAAGTAAGCTTTGCCCCATTTTATTACCTTTCTTGCCACAGCTGTTAAGCGAATCATTGCATTGGTTAAGTTAGTCACATGGTTGTGGATTTAATAACTGCAGTGGATCACTGCAGTTGTTAAATGAATCTGGCTTCCCCATTGACTTGGCTTGACAGAAGGTCGCAAAAAGTGATCACATTACCCTGGGACATTGCAACTGTCATAAATAAATACATGCCAGTTGCCAAATGTTCAAATTTTGACCACGTGACTGTGGGGATGCTGCAACAGTTGTGTGAAAAATGGTCATGTCACTTTTTTCCGGGCTGTTGTAACTTTGGTCACTAAATGAATGGTTGTAAGTTGAGGACTACCTGTATTTATTTTATTGTGTTTAAAAGTATAGGCCATCCAATTCCAGTAGATTCTGGCTGGAGAACAAAATTAAACACATAAAAAGAGCTAAAAATATGGCCGTACGTATGTATACTATTTTTCTTTCACAAACCAAATACCTATAGTTATTCTCCTCACAATCATCCTTTTGCTCTGGTGTCCCCTCCCCACACAGCTTTTTCTGGGGCCATAGAACATACTCCAGATAACAAGCATCTATTAAGAAACATGAATTATTCAGTGGCTAGGTCCATGATGGTGAACCTATGGCATGTGTGCCCGAAGTGGTATGCGGAGCCATGTCGCCTGGTATGTGCGCCGCTTGCCTGTTTCTCTTTTGAGTTTCTGGCACACATGTGCACACAATTATCAGCAAGCCTTCATGCATGTGGCAGTGCCGGAAACTGGAACAGCTGGTTTTCTGGTGCCAGCCAGCTGACTGTTGCATGCACGTGCTGGAAACTGGAAGTTCTTTTTCCGGTGTGCGCATGCTCCTTGGGCAGCTCCTGCACACACGCTCCCTTTTTGGGACTCTGTGCCATCACTAGGTTAGGTTCACACAGCATGTTGTAATTAACATTACACTGTAGGGGCTAAGCTTCATTATTTTTTGTTTGACTTGATTGCAGGCAACAAAAATGCTTTGATTATTTGATGTTTAGCCCAGTGGTCCTCACAACAATTTGCATTCTTAAAAATAAGCAAAAAAGTTTTGTTTAGGTAGCTTATATCTATCTCTATGCACTTTATTAGAAATTAAAGCAATGTTAAAATATTTTTTTGACTTCATAGGCACCCTGAAAGGATCTTAGGGATCCCTAGGCATCTGCAGACCACATTATGAGAAATGCTAGTTTACTGTATTGTACAAACGTGAACTCAGTAATTGGGTCAATATGTTGTATGAATACAACCAATAAGCCACCCAAAGTCACCTCACAGCAAGATGGGCAGCAAACAGATTTAATAATAATAATAAAATGTTTTTTTTCAAATTCAATAGGATTTAATTCCAGCTAAGTTTGGACACAATTGCACAGTCAAACAAATGGAAGATAAGAAAAAATTCTGGCAATTATGTAGATAATATACAAGCAATATTTATTCATTCCTTCCTTTCATGGATTAGATCTATGTTGTCAGATTCACGAAAGGTTCATTTGTTGAGAGACATAAGTCGGTATATAATTAGCTGAATAATAGGAAAAGAATCCAAAAGTGTTATCATAGGGTGTAATACTGAGTAAATTGCATTCAGAGGAAAAAAGCTGAGATAATGATACAATAAATCTTTTGATCTTTATAAGCTTCATTTTTAAAAAATAGCACACTAAACAAATACGTTGGCTCATGT